AAGAATTCTCTGCATTATATTCACACCACACATTGCCCTTAGACATGACATCTCCACTGCCTCCAGCCTTCTCCTCATTGCAACATTCATCACCCATGCTTCACACCCATAGAGGAGTGTTGGCACAATTATACTCTCTTACATTCCCCTCTTTCCTTTCATGGACAAAGTTCTTTGTCTCTACAGACTCCTAAGTGCACCACTCACCATTTTCCCCTCATCAATTCTATGATTCACCTCGTCCTTCATAGACCCATCTGCTGACACGTCCACTCCCAAATATCTGAATATATTCACCTCCTCCATACTCTCTCCCTCCAGTCTGATACCCAATCTTTCGTCACCTAATCTTTTTGTTATCCTCATCACCTTACTCTTTCCTATATTCACTTTTAATTTTCTTCTTTTACATACCCTACCAAATTCATCTACCAACCTCTGCAACTTCTCTTCAGAGTCTCCCAAATGCAGTGTCATCAGCAAAGAGCAACTGTGACGACTCCCATTTTGTGTTTGATTCTTTATCTTTTAACTTCACACCTCTTGCCAAGACCCTCGCATTCACTTCTCTTACAACCCCATCTATAAACATATTGAACAACCAGGGTAACATCACACATCCTTGTCTAAGACCTACCTTTACTGGGAAATAATTTTCCTCTCTCCTACATACTCTAACCTGAGCCTCACTATCCTCATAAAAACTCTTCACTGCTTTCAGTAACCTACCTCCTATACCATACACCTGCAACATCTACCACATTGCCCCCGTATCCACCCTGTCATATGCCTTTTCCAAATCCATAAATGCCACAAAAACCTCTTTACCCTTATCTAAATGCTGTTCACCTATGTTTCACTGTAAACACTTGGTCTACACACCCCCTACCTTCCCTAAAGCCTCCTTGTTCATTTGCTATCATACTCTCCATCTTACTCTTAATTCTTTCAATAATAACTCTACCATACACTTTACCAGGTATACTCAACAGACTTATTCCCCTATAATTTTTACACTCTTTTTTATCCCCTTTGCCTTTATACAAAGGAACTATGCATGCTCACTGCCAATCCCTAGGCACCTTACCCTCTTCCATACATTTATTAAATAATAGCACCAACCACTCCAAAACTATATCCCCACCTACTTTTAACATTTCTATCTTTATCCCATCAATCCCAGCTGCCTTACCCCCCCCCTTTCATTCTACCCACTGCCTCACGAGCTTCCCCCACACTCACAACTAGCTCGTCCTCACTCCTACAAGATGTTATTCTTCCTTGCCCTATACACGAAATCACAGCTTCCCTATCTTTTCAACATTTAACAATTCCTCAAAATATTCCCTCCATCTTCCCGACACCTCTAACTCTCCATTTAATAACTCTCCTCTCCTATTTTTAACTGTCAAATCCATTTGTTCCCTAGGCTTCCTCAACTTATTAGTCTCACTCCAAAACTTTTTCTTATTTTCAACAAAATTTGTTGATAACATCTCACCCACTCTCTCATTTGCTCTCTTTTTAGATTGCTTCACCACTCTCTTAACCTCTCTTTTTCTCTCCATATACTCTTCCCTCCTTGCATCACTTCTACTGTGTAAAAGCCTCACATATGCTAACTTTTTCTCCCTTACTACTCTCTTTGCATCATCATCCCACCAATCGCTCTTCTTCCCTCCCACACCCACTTTCCTGTAACCACAAACTTCTGCTGAACACTCTAACACTACATTCTTAAACCTACCCCATACATCTTCGACCCTATTGCCTATACTCTCACTAGCCCATCTATCCTCCAATAGCTGTTTATATCTTACCCTAACTGCCTCCTCTTTTAGTTTATACACCTTCACCTCTCTCTTACTTGCTGCTTCTATTTTCATTGTATCCCATCTACCTTTTACTCTCACTGTACCTGCAACTATAACAAGTATTACCCTAAAAAACTAAACAGATCACAGCTAAGAGATTGAACAGTCCCTGGTTAACACTCAGCATCCTCAAATCCATAAATATAAAGCACTTATATGAAAAACAGTGCAGAATGGGTCACATAACCAGAGACCAAACAAAACGTTACTCGTCAATCCTAACCAGCCTGATAAGGACAAAAAATTTGTATTATGAGAACAGATTATTCAACTTAAAAAGGTGATATAAAAAAGACCTGGAAAACCCTATCTTAAATTCTAGGAACAAAAATGATATCAGGGAACAGAACAATGAAATTAACAAAACTAGATGAACCCCTACTCCCACCGACTGAAACAGCAGACAGACTCAATGTTTTCTTCTCCACCATAGGAAAAAAACCTTGCGGGTAAAATCAAAATGTCAAATACCCCACCTAATGACTACCTCACTGGCACCTTCTCACTTATTATCAACACATTAAAGAACAAGGCAGGAGATTTAAATAACTTACCACCCTTTATATACAAAAAAGCTTCACAAGTGCTGTCACCAATTATTGCAACACTCTACCTTCCCCACAAGCTCAAAATAGCGAGGGTCACTCCGATACATAAAGGAGGAGATCAAGCAGACCTGAATAACTATAGGCCAATATCCAACTTACCCCTGCTCTCTAAAATCTTTGAAAAATTAATTCATAAGCGAATCTATTCCTACCTCATCTCCCACAACATACTCAACCCCTGTCAGTTTGGGTTCAGGCCTAATAAAAATACGAATGATGCTATTATACACATGCTGGAACTAATATACACTGCACTCGAAAAAAAGAAGTCCCATTGGGAATCTTCATTAATTTACATAAAGCTTTTGATACAGTTGACCATAATTTGTTGCACATAAAATTATCACACTATGGTATAAAAGGGCACTTCTTGAAATACCTAGTCATACCTTAGCAACAGAAGCCAATATGTGTGCATAAATGGAGCTAACTCTTCCACACAACCAATTATAGTTGGTGTCCCACAGGGAAGTGTCCTTGGCCCACTTCTCTTTCTCATTTACATAAACGACCTACCAAATGTATCTCAACCACTCAAGCCCATACTATCTGCAGATGACACAATATACGTCTTCTCTCACCTAACCCAGTCATACTAGCCAATACTGTAAATACTAAATTACAGAAAATATCTACCTGGATGATGATTAACAAGCTTACTCTCAGTATTGACAAAGCTTACTTCATGCAGTTTGGAACAGAACTACAAATGATAAACATAATGATAAACATAAACATAATGATAAACGGTTCATCTATCAAAAAGCTCACAGAGGGAAAATTCTTTGGAATCCACCGAGATAAATGACTCAAATTTCAAACACATGTACAACAAATTTCCAAGAAAATCTCCAAGACCGCAGGCATACTATCGAAGATGCGGTACTATGTTCCACATTCAGCTCTCCTTGCCCTATATCACTCACTCATTTACCCCTATCTCACCTATGGAATTTGTGCATGGGGCTCAACAACAATAAATCATCTCAGACCATTAATTACCCAGCAAAAGGCTGCAGTCAGAATGATAACAAATTCCCACTCCAGGCAGCATACTCCACCAGTATTCAAAAGTCTAAACTTACTCACCGTACAAAACATCCATACTTAATACTGTGCCTACTACATACATAGAAAACTAAACTCAGATATAAACCCTTCCCTCAAACTTCTCCTTACCAACCTCAAGAGAACACATGACCACAACACAAGGCACAGATCACTCTTTGATGTTCCCTGTGTCCATCTCACACTATGTAAAAACTCAATGCCCAAAAATTTGGAATTCATTACCTGTGAATACCAAAGAAGCACTGTCTGTTTATCAATTCGAGACTCTTCTTAAAAACCACTGACTCACCCAAAACTAAATACTCAATAAGTAACTCTACCTGCAAAGTTAACAAATCGCTTTCTACTGCCTCAAAATATCATTACACACTGTGTTACTTCCCTAGCCTCAGAACCCCATAATTAAATGCTAAAAGATCAATAAATATTGAATAACTGTATTTCATAACTGTATCTCATGAATGTATAACCCGTGACCCTATCAAAGTATGTTTGTAATAATAGAATAATAATAGAATAATCTATTATCTTGAATGCACAGTAACTCATCTAATGACCATATGAACTGTTTCTGCACTACAAATCATTGATTTTATTCGATTTGATCTGATTAATAAATGGTATGACTACATATAGTAAATTGATCATTGTTATATTATACATTGTAATACTACAAATTATGTTTCAAGATTGAATTGTTCAAATTTCATTGTTTAAAATACTCAGTTGTACTTCAAATTGTAAATTGTTTACAGTAATTTTTACCACTGAATCTATCATAGCTTAGTTAATTTTAAATTAATTTTAAGCTTGTCCATGATGTTCTGCATACAAGGGGCTTTTGTCATGTACAACCAACTGCTATAATTCCTTGTACAACTATGTATCATGTCTAAATAAACTATTATTATTATTATTATTATTATTATTATTATTATTATTATTATTATTATTATTATTATTATTATTATTATTAATATCATATTTTCTGATTTGCATTGAAAACTTATGTTGAAGTCTATCCTGTTTTATTTTGCTTGTAATGAAATAGACTGGGCTGGGTTTTTTTTTTTGGGGGGGGGGGATGGGAAGGGAATACTGGGATACAACTTTTTAGATCACGCAGCGAGTGAATTGTATCTAGTTGTTGTTATATTCACAGGGAATCGCTAAACCGGTAGGGAATATACAGCACCTAGGGAAATAGGGGTAACCAGATTTGATCTAAGGAAGGAGAGGGTAATACCAGTTCCTTGTTCAAGAGTCATTCACAGGTGTGTAGACACCTCGTCCCATCTGAGGAGTTGGATTGGTACTGAGTTACCAAGTGAAAGAAAGTGAATGATCAGAAGGGTTATTTAATTCTTTATACAACCCCACACTCCGCACCTCTTTACTGTGTGGTTACTATTCCCTATTTTATATACACACTCCACTAAAATCTTACCCGCAGTCCTTGTGGAGAGGTGAAGTCTGCTCCCTCGACGCAGTGAGCGGCGGTGATAACATAGCCAGGTGCAATGATAGAACCTCCACAGAAGTGTATCCACACACCGAGCACCCTCTCCTGGAAGCTCACCTGTGGGATATACATAAGTGTACACGTGTTCACTATCTTTAAACCTTCCTCGTATAAGTTGGGTCACTACATTATCTTTTATTCTATATGCCACAACACTTGGCGTGGGATGCTCATTTGATAGTAGAGGAATATCCAAGGTTTGATAATATAAACTAGAAAACACTCGAGGCATATAGGTCTATAGAACCACACTGAGAACCGTTAATGTAAATATGTGATCATACCACAGAGTGTGTGTGTGTGTGTGTTTCTCTGACGAAAGTAACAGCGTATACCAGCACCTCACCTGGTACGGGAACTGTCCCTTGGTGGCCACCTCACCACCCACGATCCCAACACTGGCTCTAGGCTGTCGCACATGGCCAGAGGACGACCCTTCAGTATATAGATATAATTTATGTGTTAATCAGTTACTCAATTCATACTGAAACATCACATCATAAACATTATAAAGTCAGTCGCTGAGTGAAGACTCCAAGCCCGTTTAGGTATGCAAGAAGCAGGTACGAAACCTCATTACTGCCCACTTAGGTGTACACTCGGGTCAGGGCATTTGTTCTACGTGCCTGAAGATCGAGCTCTCACTCTAATTAAGTGTGAGGTTTCTTGCAGTCTTAAAAAACTCTTTTACTAACTCAAGGAGCGTACCTGTGAACTCTGAGATACGTTCTTCCTGACTTAATTATATTGATTCAGGTAGTGACTTAGGGACGGACAGTTGCAGACTCATGTAAAGACAAGTACATACTCAGAGGAGAGACAAGTACAGATTCAAGGAAGGACTAGTACACAAAGGGAAATGCAAGTATACAGTCTGGGAAGTACAAGTACACACTCAGGGAAGTACAGGTACAGTACACAATCAGGGAAGTACAGGTACAGTACACAATCAGGGAAGTACAAGTACACTCACAGAGAAGACCAGATAACAGACTCAGGGAAGTACAAGTACAGACTCAGGGAAAGGACAAGGTGCTATGTGAACCTTACAGGTTTAACGCTTTACCATGTTAATAATAATAATAATAATAATAATAATAATAATAATAATAATAATAATAATAATAATAATAATAATAATAATAATAATAATAATAATAAGGCAGGAAGTAGATCTTACCTAAGCATGTTAAGCTGAGGGTCAATATAAGCAGCAGCAGCGGAGACTTAGTGTTGGTCATGGTGTTGTTAATTGTGACAGTATCACTCAGTATTATGACCACCACTGAGGCAGATATCACAACACTGACGTACAGAGGACCAACACTGAGGTAGAGATGACCAACAATGAGAGAGATGACCAACAATGAGGCAGATATCACAACACTGAGGTAGAGAGGACCAACAATGAGAGAGATGACCAGCAATGAGGCAATCACAACACCGAGGTAGAGAGGACCAACAATGAGAGAGATGACCAACAATGAGGCAGATATCACAACACTGAGGTAGATATGACATACACGCGCCAAGATTCTCTCACGCTGATATTAATAAGATATATTAGGTGATAACCTTCGCCACATGCTAGCACAATACAAGCACTGGCCACGTAGACTTTCCCAGACCTAGAAAGGGTAAAGTCTACAATCATGTTTTGGCCTTTAAAGAGGTAGGTGTCCTAATGTTCCTGAAGAGCACCTTATTCAAAGAGATGCAGCTCTTCTTCCCTTACATCAGACTTCATTATCCCCTGGAGGTTATTCCGGGGATCAACGCCCCCGCGGCCCGGTCCATGACCTGGTCCATGACCAGGCCTCCGCTTTATTAACCCTACGGGTGTAGTGCTTCACCGTGATGAGGTGAAAATAACATGAAACATTAACAGCATTAGAAACTTGAAACATTAATATTGTACCATAACAAACTTGAAACATTATTACTGTATCGTAACAAACTTGAAATATTGATATTGTACCATAATAAACTTGAAACATTAATATTATACCATAACAAACTTGAAACATTGATACTGTACCATAACAAACTTGAAATATTGATATTGTACCATAATAAACTTGAAACATTAATATTATACCATAACAAACTTGAAACATTGATACTGTACCATAACAAACTTGAAACATTATTACTGTACCATAAATTTGAAGCATTAATACTGTACCATAACAAGCCTGAAACATTATTACTGTACCATAAATTTGAAACATTAACACTGTGCCATAACAAATTTGAAACATTATTGCTGTGCCATAACAAACTTGAAACATTATTACTGTACCATAACAAACTTGAAACATTATTACTGTACCATAAATCTGAAACATTAATGTAGACAGCTTGTACTGTCTGCACAGACAGCCTATGCTGTCTGCCAGCTTAGTTCATATTTTGCCCACTAAAGTGCTGCCCTCTGGGCCTGCCCAGGTCTGTGGGACGCTGGTCCCACACGCTCCCACTCTCTCAGCGGACTAGCAGCAAGACACAAGGCCTACTAGTTCTCTCTCTCGTGAGCATGGCCCTACCCGGGCCATGGGCACAACACACAAACCTGTGTACCCACCACGACTTTACAAATAAAGTAAGAAGCCTCCGAAGACGTCTATCATTCACTCGCCCTGCTTTCAGCTCACCAAACAAACTCGTTATAAATAGTGGAAAGCGGTGGTCGCAGCAGTTGTGTTTGCCCGGACAGAGGAAGGAAGGAAGGGATGAAGTCATCTTCACTTTATCACCCTATACAAGAAGCATCCGTCTCTCAACGAGTTATCTTGATGTTGTGTCTGCACGTTTCAGCATCCAGGGACAGGTACAAGCAGGATCTAGCCGAAATTTACCGAATTTCTTCGAGAATTGTAAGTGGCGTCCCAGTGACCCCACGCTACAGCATCCCACGCTGTTTCTCAAGTCACGTGTTCAGCATCACTTGTATGTTCTGCTGTTGTTGTTCAGCTCAGCACAGCTATTTCAGCAAGCCAGAGGTGAGTTTTGTGGTGATTTCTGCATCCAGTGTGCATGTCTCCGTGTTTGTGGAAGATGAGGAAGTGGCCGTTCCTTGCCTCGCCCATGCTCGCCCTGCTGTACACTCACACCTCACCAGCCTACCATACACCACCATGCCATCACTCCCTCTGCTGTGTTTCTACTGTTTTTCGTGTGATTCATTTCCAGAGCTGTGTATCCGAGTGCCTGAGGCCACTCAAAGCCATGTGGATCAGCAAGCCATGTGGATCAGCAAGCCACGTGGATCAGCAAGCCATGTGGATCACTAAGCCACATGGATCAGCAAGCCACATGGATCAGCAAGCCATGCAGATCAGCAAGCCATGTAGATCAGCATACCACATAGATCACAATGCCATGTGGATCCCAACGCCATGTGGGGTGTGGGCGATGTCACATGGATCTACAAGCCACATGGGTTACCAAGCTAGATGTCCCAGGCCTCATGCTGTGGTCTGCCCACATCACATTGACGTCACCGATGCTGCTGCCTGACTTCATGACGTCATGATGTCTGCCTGACATCACCTTGAGATGTCTGCTGATGTCACAATGCTGCTGATGTCACCTCGCAATGTCACGCCTGACCTCACATGATGTCACATCGAGTGTTCTAGTAATTATTTCAGTATTGTCGAGAAGATTGAGAGAAGATATATGTCATGTTAATTAATTCCTCTCTGTCAGTGTTCTCACATGTTAGTGTATGGCTTAGTGTCAGTTTTGTGCACAGAAAAGCATCTTTTGCTAGTTTAAGCCATGTTGTACTGCATGTACTGCGGGTGTGTGTAAAGTTTTCCGTGTGTCCAGTGTGGTCTGCGGCCAGTCCCCTGTGTAGCACTTTGTGTTGTCACCTGGTGTGACCAGCACGTTTGACAGCTGATATTACTCAGCCCCTGAGCGTATGAGCCCCTTTGTACAGAAAGCTCTTATGCTCGTCGCTCATAGATGTTCTGCAGAATCGTACCTGCTACGATTCCCATTGAGATTTGTTTCACTTCACCTCCAGACCTTCAGAGTGCAGTTATATGTAGAGAAACAAGTCTGGGGACACTTAGACTAACCTCTGCTATAACTCCAACTGCCGAGAAAATGACACTCGTCAAGTCGCAGTTAGCCCTGTCGGCAGGTGCTGTGTCAGCCTCATGTCATAAGCTTCAGTGAGCACTCTGCACGAAGATGATGTCACTTTGACTGCTAGCTCGCTCACTGCAGTCTGGTGTATGATGTTCCGACTCCCAGATGTTTTGCCCAGTCTGTGCCACCACTCGCTCCACAACTCACTCCACGCTCGCAGGCAGTGACAGTACCAGTCGAGAAGTATCCTCCTGAGTCGCTTGCCAGAAGTTCTGCCCAGTTGCCGAGTTTTGACGATGCCTCACTCGAGGGCACCAGCATGTCGTGCCCCAGGTGCAGTGATGTCCATCAACGCTCACTGCCTTTGACCACGATGTTTAGCACACCCCACATGTTTTTTTTTTTCCCTCCCTGTAGGAAGTTTTTTTTTCATGTCCAAATGTATATATATGTTTTTTATTTTGTGTTCTGTGCCCTGTTCCTACGAGAGAGAGACTGAGTTTTTTTTTTACCACCAGTATTGTCCCGATGCGAGGTAGGTGGCCGAGCGTATGTAGACAGCCTGTACTGTCTGCACAAACAGCCTATGCTGTCTGCCAGCTTAGTTCATATTTTGCTCCACTAAAGTGCTGCCCTCTGGGCCTGCTCAGGTCTGTGGGATGCTGGTCCCACATGATCTCACTCTCTCAGCGGCCTAGCAGCAAGACACAAGGCCTACTAGTTCTCTCCCTCATGAGCATGGCCCTACCCGGGCCATGGGCACAACACACAAGCCTGTGTACCCACCACGACTTTACAAATAAAGTAAGAAGCCTCCGAAGACATTATCGTAGGGGTTCTTAAATGGAGATATCGTGGGTTGAAGGTAGACACACTTGTTGGATGGTAACATATATATTGTCAGACTGTGATGATGAATGTGGAGCCCAGCCTCTGCCTGTCTTCACCTGTAGGTCTACGCCGACTGAGAGGGAGGCAGAGGTACGAGCCTACACATGCGCATCCCGTGACATCACACAAAGTCACAGGCCTACAAGGGATCTCCTATCTAAAGCACATGGATGATACTAATATGCTATGCTATATAACACAGGGATCAGCAACTATGCTGACAGCTCGGTCATGTTATGTATGTCGTCTCGACATACACTACTATCTATAGGCTTAACAGGCAGGTGGTTCTGGGCTGATTCTATACAATAACAAATTCATATATAACTTAGAACTAATGGATGGTATCATAATGGATGTTACAACATGAGTTTTACGTAATGGGTGTTAACGTAATCACTTTTAACGTAATACATTACAAACTATAAGATCAAATCATTGTACAATATGGATGGAATTGATCGATCGATCTGTATTCATGCACTCTACGGATTCTGAGGAAGAATAAATATATATATATACAAGGTGAAATTAACAGCAAAGGTATCTGGTGCACTCAGACTATTACTGTCAAATTCTCAGAATACGGAGGGAACGCGAATACGAAAATTTCTGACAAACTGATCAGCTAATAACAAAACACATAGTTGATAATTTCATTCATCTCGGACATCTAATTATACAGGCTGTTTACACTTAAACCCAATTCTGCGAGGGTAAGGTTTATGTATGCAGAATGGTTATCATCTCTGGGAGGATCGAATTCCTCTACAATGGCAGGAGAGTCTAGCCCGTTCTCCAGCAGCCTCAAATGTATTTAACTTAATTCGTATGAAGGACTTCCAAGATCTAACCAGGTGGCAAGATTATGAACAGTTAATTCGCAATTATCTTGAACCGGTGCGAGAAACCGATCCGTTCATTGTTCTCAAAGAATTAGTTTGCACAGCTCCGAGACCAGAAGAGTCATTAGATGAGTTTGCTCTTCGTCTTAATAACCTAATGTCCTCATTCGTTAAAGCAGGTCAAAATTCAAAGTACCTTAAAGATAACGATAAACCAGCCCTTGATGGGTTTGCCAAATTAGCTGCATTTGGAGTTATTAAACAACTAATGCCACCGATATCTATGTATGTGTACAATTCAAGTCCGCTAGATGCTACTATGGGACCGCTTGCAGCTCTAATCCATGTACGAAATTTGTGTCCCGAGGGAACCTTCCCTTATCGTAAGTCTATGCCAAACAACTTGTCCACTCCTGTACTTCCTCTAGTTTGTGCTACTACCAAAACTCCCAACCTTAATCACTCGCGTCCATCATCCAAAGCAAGTGTTAAGAGCCATCATTCCCGTAGCACCCGTAGTACGTACAGTACCCACAGTCAAAGAGTTTGCTACAATTGTGGTTACCGTGGCCATATCGCTATTAATTGTCATGACAGTCACCCTAAGAAGCGTCGTACTGATGATGAGTACCAGTCAGATCTTCCCTTCTGTACTT